GACTTCTCTTGAGGTCACAGTCTGTTGGTTTAGCTTGACAGACTGGCTTCTCAGTCCAGTTTCAAGTAGCCTACAGCAGCCTAAGTGTGGACTGCTGCCAGAAGGAGGTTTACCACCTTTCCTCCAATGTCTTTATGTTCTTCCTGACTCTAGCGTGTCCAAGTTTCTAGTTCAACTATCTGACAGAAGAGAAAGTTGACAGTAGACAATGAATCATACCAAGATATGAGTTTTAAGCTGTGTTCCCCTGACCAAGCACATGGTGAAGTCATGCCAGCTCTAGCACAAGTGAGACCAGGCAAACACATAGTCCAGACATGAGGCCAGGGGTGGGACAATCCTTTTCAGAAAAATCTTGAGCTTTGATGAGTTCAGACCAGTTCCATCACTGCATAATCATTTTTTGTTTTGTTTTCCTTTTTTTTTTCCCTGTGATTTTTCTCTGCCCTTCTTTTGAGGAGTTTCTTTTTCACAAAGATCAAAACAATGCAGTCGGATTATTTCCTTGCAAATTGTGTAAGTTTCCAATCAGTTCTTTAGATTGGATAAACCAAAAACCCTAACAAAATACAACACTTATTCTCATGGATAAATAAATTCACAGACATCTTTCCAGATCCAGCAGTGACCAATCCCTAACAGTCCATCACTGCTCCCTCCCATAGCTTGCTGCCTTCACTGATTTGCTGGAGAATCCATTTGTGAGAACCTTTCCCAACTTGCTCCAGACAAAAGCAAACAACATCACTTTAGACAATTTGAACTGTTACTCTGGATTATCCTGCTTGCAGCAATTCAGGGAGAACACATAGGAATAACACTCGTGAATCACACCCCCAGTGGATGTTATCATGCCCTGGGGCATGATAATAATTAGCTAAAGTCAGGAATCACCCAGTGAGCATAGAAAAGGCAGCAAAAAAAGAACCAGGGTAGTAACCAATTATACAGGCATAGCTGGATCCCCGAAAAAGTTTTCTTGCCTTTTACAATTGCCAGGGCTGTGTCGCTTCCCCCTCGCTCAAGCACAGCTCTGGTCAAACACCACTTTCATAAAAATCAGCATTTATGTGATTTACACATCTATATAGATATTCAGGGAGAAATTCATGCAACTCCCTCCAGATGCTCTTTGAAGATAGGTAATCACTATTTTCTAAACTCACACAAAAAGAAATTGAGGATTAATTAGGATTAAATAAGGTAAATCAAAACAGGTGGCGAACATCCTATTTAAAGTGCAATCTCATTAAAAATAATAAACATCACTCACCCCATTGCAAATTCATCTAGGTTTGTTTTTCCTAAAAGCACAGCTCCCTGATCCAATAACTTCTGTACTACTGTAGCATTGTAAGGAGAAATATAACCTGTAAACAATCAGGACAGTTATGACATTGATTTAGTGAGACAGGGATGGTTTTCAGAAGGCACTACTGCTCTGGACACTCCAAAGGCTGTCATTACTTTTGCTTAAGAATTGTGATAAATTTTGGCTTCATATTAACAACAGCGAAATTTACCAAAAGTTCTTCTTCCACAACATACAACTCCAGAAATTCTGAATTGTACAATTTAAATTGCAGAACTAGGACTTCACACAAACAGGTTACCATAAAAGTAGCAAATTTTTGGAATCAACCAATTTGAAGGAGGTATCTAAAATGCCTTGCCTTGTGCCACAGAAAATGGTAAGAAATTAGAAATAGTTCTACAGAAAATTGCCAAGCTATGCAATTATCATGAGATAAAGGAGCATAGAGGTAGCCACAAGCTGAAATACTAACCGGCTATTCTATTCTGCAATCAAGTGTGCGATCCCTTAAAGCTTATATAAAATAGAATGAGAAACACGTCATTTGTATGAGATCCTGGAGAGCAACCAACTCCTTTTGTGAATATTGACAGGGATTTCTCTACCCCCAACCTTCAGCTGGAACTAGCAAAAAAGAAATCAAATGTGCACAAGGAAAAGTATCCAAGGTAATATGAAGCCATATATATATATATATATATGGGAAAGCCTTTTGTTTATTTCTTTTGTTATAAAAGCACAGTCATCAGATTAGCTCAAAAAAATAGCAGAATCCTACCCTTTAAGTTTTACAGCTTTAACTTGTACATATGGCAAAATAAAGCTGATAAGAAACACTTTCTCCGTAAAAGAAAATTAAGGAATTCATTTGCATTGGCCTATAATAAAAGATTTTGTTTTAAACACAGCCTTTTTTCCCCCCCAAAGTGCTTTTACTAGAGAAACACTTTCATTTCTTCAGAAATCTTCTTGTTAATTGAAACAATAAGTTTACAAAATTTGAACAAATTAAAAAAAAAAGTAAAATTCCTTGCAGAATATGTTTGTATACTACAGAATGCACTGAAAACCAGTGATGACTACTCTCTTACAGTGATACAGACAAGCTACTTAAGTTAGAATTATCAACAGGAAAAAAAAGACAGAGCAAGAAGAAAGGCTATCTGCATTTGGCTAGTCAGGACAATAGTTAAAGGCACCAACTGCTCTCTTATAAATTGCAAAATAACATGAAACAAAATATGAACCAGACAGTTACCTTTCAGTATGTTTGCTACAATAAAGACTTTTTGAAAGAGCAATATAGCTATATAAATAAACAAGAAAATGTGCTTATATAAGATGTTGAACCAATGATACCAGAAAGCAGAAAAGATTCAAATGACTTCAGTTTTTTGAAAATACTTAGATTTTTGGAAGACTCTCCTCCATAATAAAAAGAATTAAGAGTTCTGAAGTGAGATCTGATTTTACTTAGAAAAGTTCTACTCTACCTTTTAGCATGTTTGATGCACACGTTGTCTCAATGCCAGCTGTATTAAAGTTGTCTTTTACTGCAACAGGAATTCCATCTAGAACGCCCAGTGGTTGACCTGGATGAGGTCAATACAAAGACGACAGGGATTAAATGAAAGTGTATATGTACATTTTTTAAAATCAATTACATCTTATTTCACATATCATTTTGCATCTCTGGGGGACATAAGGATGCTATCCACATCACATGGGATGACTGCCCGCTACATTTTCAAAAACCATCTTCTGTTCTAACTCCAGCATTAAACCTACCCAAACTAGAGCTACCTCTGCAGAGTTCTGCTCTGCAAATGTTCCTAAACCTGCAGTACAGGCAGCTGCTTGCACATAGGTTAGCAATCCCAGAGGGGTGCTTACTTTTTCAAATGCAACCACATAACGTATTTCAACTGCTGGTACCCCTTATATCTACCCCATGCCTAGACTAACGTCATAAATTCTGCCTGACACACACAGTAGATATGATCTTTACAAGATGTCAGTAGCAGAGAATGTCTTCCCTAGGTGTCTGATTATCCCCCATTCTACCAAAAAGAAAACGGAGTTAAGTGCCTGCATCATGAAGCAAAATAGTCCGGTTGGCAAATTTCTTAAATCTGTCAGAGATTGCAAGTGTCACCCCGAGAGAAAAATAAGTATCCCATCCTTCTCTCCCACCTAGGAAAGGCAATGGAAAAGGAAGAAGGGATGACGAGCTCCCACGCAAGAGTTTTACCGGGCACAGGCGTAACGTACCTCTCCGGTACCTCTTCTCTGCCTCCTCGGCCTCCAGCAGGGCCGCATCCTCCGCCACGCTGATGTAGGCGTTGAGGAGGCCGGTGCCTCTGACGCGGGCCAGGCAGCGCTGGCAGAGCTCCCCGGCGCCCACGCGGCCTTCCCGCAGCGCTGCCGACACCTGCAACGGCCCCTGCGGCCCTCAGCGCCCCGCG